CCGGGCGCCGAGACGCGCCCCGCTGGGCAGGGCCCGGGCCGGGCCGGGGGGTCCGCCCCTGCTGCTGCCGTCCATGCTTATGTTCGCGGTGATCGTGGCCTCCAGCGGGCTGCTGCTCATGATCGAGCGGGGCATCCTGGCGGACATGAAACCCCTTCCCCTGCACCCGCCCAGCCGCGAGGGCGCGGCCTGGCGCGCCACAGCCCCCAAGCCTGGGGCACCATCCCCGGAGGCCGGGGACTCGGATCAGCGAGTGCTGCAGGACGTCCGGAACCGGACTTTGCGGGCGGTGTGTCGGCAGCCAGGCATGCCACGGGACCCCTGGGACCTGCCGGTGGGTCAGCGGCGCACCCTGCTGCGCCATATCCTTGTGAGTGACCGCCACCGCTTCCTTTACTGCTACGTCCCCAAGGTGGCCTGCTCTAACTGGAAGCGGGTGCTGAAGGTACTGGCGGGCGTCCTGGACAGCGTGGACGTCCGCCTCAAGATGGACCATCGCAGTGACCTAGTGTTCCTAGCGGACCTGCGGCCGGAGGAGATTCGCTACCGCTTGCAGCACTACTTCAAGTTCCTGTTTGTGCGAGACCCTTTGGAACGCCTCCTCTCTGCTTATCGTAACAAGTTTGGTGAGATCCGCGAGTACCAGCAACGCTATGGAGCCGAGATTGTGAGGCGGTACCGGCCTGGAGCCGGACCTAGCCCAGCGGGAGATGATGTCACCTTCACGGAATTCCTGAGATACCTGGTGGAAGAGGACCCAGAGCGCATGAACGAACATTGGATGCCTGTGTACCACCTGTGCCAACCCTGTGCTGTGCACTACAACTTTGTGGGCACCTATGAAAGGCTGGAAGCTGATGCCAACCAGGTGCTGGAGTGGGTGGGGGCACCACCCCATGTCCGGTTCCCGGCTCGCCAGGCCTGGTACCGGCCAGCCAGCCCCGAAAGCCTGCACTACCACCTGTGCAGTGTCCCGCGAGCCCTTCTGCAGGATGTGCTCCCTAAGTATATCCTGGACTTCTCCCTCTTTGCCTACCCGCTGCCCAATGTCACCAGGGAGGCCTGCCACCAGTGACCATCGGTGTGAAGGCAGCAGCTTTTGGGGACTGGTTTTGATGCCAGCTTCTTGTGCTTCTTCTTGCCATTCAGAGAAACGCTGGCTCTGGAGCTTGGGGCTTTTCCAGAAGCCGGGATGGCAGGGACTGCTCCAGGAGCTCCTAGGCCAGGATGGGTACCCACAGTGGCACAGAGACAGGTGGAAACCGGAGGCTGCTGCTCCCCACTGGGATATCTTGAGTGCCAGTGTGATCTGGTTTGCTTTGTCCCATCTACTCCAGCGACTCTTCAAGCTCCTGGCTGCAGGGATTGTACGCTGCACTTTGTCCACCTTAGTTTAACCCGTGGCCGACCCCAGAGGTGGCACCAGCCGGGGGCACTGACCCTGTGCCTTTGACCCACCCACCTCCATCTAGCCCGTGTGCCTCAGGACTGGAGTAAGCAGTTGTGCCTTGTAAATGAAATGACTTTGGTGCCTTCCTGCTCCAGGCAGCATTCGCTACACTTGCCAGATTTTTGTCCCATTTTTTTAAGGAAAGGAAAACAGAGGCAAGGCCTTTGCCTGGTAGCTCCAGCACCCAGCCCTGCAGGCATCCAAATATCCAGCCTCCTCCTAGAGCTCTGGGAACATCTTGCCTGGTCCTCTCTCCCCTCCCTGCAAGGCCTTCAAGGTTGTGACTGTGGCTGGCATATCTGGTTGCCACTTTTCTGATACATTTATTTAAAATTTGTACTTTTTGATAGAATCTTTATAAGCCCACCAGCTGATTTTTTAATAAAGCTATTTGTATACAAAGTGAAGATCTCTGTGACTCCCCCTCTGAAGCATTGTGACTCGAGTGAGCCTCCTAGATGTCTCCCCAGGTCAAAAGAGGCAGCGTGCAAGTAGAGACAGTAAAACAAGGTATAACTTGTTTGGGCAGGTTCAGTGGGCCATTGCTATACCATGGGTCCCTTGGGGGCTTCTAATAGGACATAGTGGCTCTGAAATTCAACCAAAGGGCAAGCCTGGTTAGGAAAGGCCCCAGATCCAGTGCATTCCTGCCTGGCTTATTTCCTGAAGAAGTGGGTAGGGAGGAGACATGGGCGCTGCCTCTTCTTAGGCAGGAGTACTTCAGTCCTTTTTAATTCCTGAGATGGGATTTTGGTATGTTACCCAGACTGGCCTTCTGCCTTGGCCTTCACAGCTCCTGGGACTACAGCGTGTGCTACCACACCCAGCTCAGAAGCACTTCTTGAGTCCCTCCAGAGGATTTTCAAATGAGGAAGGACAGGGTCATTTCCTGGCACTGAGAATTCAAGGAAGGGGCTGGGGATGTAGCTAGCAATAAGAGCGCTTACCTAGTTTGCAAGAGGACCTGGGTTCCATCCTTAGCACTGCAAAAGAGAGGGGGACAAGGAGCTGCCTTGTGTTCAGGACATTGTGGGCAGCGTGGGAAGAATGCAGTAGAGCAGGAGAGGACAGGGTTTAGTGTGGCCTGTCACCACACTGCTTTGCAGAGCTCCCAGGCACACCAAGGGATGGGGGACAGGAGGCTGGGCCTGGGGGCCAAGGAAGAGATGCAAAGCTAGAGCTGGCTCTTCCTTATTGGTCCTACTTCTTATGCCCACACTGGGGACCGCTACACTTTAGGGACCTAATCCTGTGATAAAGGGTGGAGCCCAGGGGAGGTGGGAGGGACCATCACAGGTGCCATCTGTACCTAGCTTTGCTGTTGGCCTGACTTTGGAAAGGAACGCTGCCTCTATTCCCCAGATTTAGGGGAGGAGGCTTCTGTGGGCACTTAAGGTTCTCTGCCATCGTTCACCAGGAGGCCTTACATGATCCTGTCTGCATCAAGGTCCTCTCACCTCTGGGGACTTCGCTCACACTGGTCAAACCTAAGCACTACTCACCAACTGTCTATCTTTCTGAAACTCCATTTTCCCCACTGCACAGGAATAATAACGTGTATCTTATGTTGGTTAATGAAGAGAAAATGAGCAAAAGAGCCCATCCTAGGCCCAGCTGCAGGTGTCCTTTGAGATGCTGGTTGAGCACCTGATCTCTGAGACCTGTGGGGATGAGGGAGAAACCAGGACACTTTCTAGCCCAGCCCTGGAGACCCAAGGTGCTTCTGGGCAGAGCCCCTTTGAACTCTGGGTTCACTTCCTCTCCCACTGAGTCAGTCCTTCCATGAGCTGCCAGGCCCTCAGGAGCCCTCCGCTCTGCTCCTTCTTCCTTGCCTGGGACCTACGGACTCCAGACTACAGGAGCCAATCAGTCCCCGACACAGAGGTCTTCAGCAGGGAACCCAGGCCTCATCCAGTTCATCCTCAGATCGGTGCAGGGTCTTAGGTGTTGCCCTGTTTTACAGAGAAGGTAAGTAACCTGCCCAAGGTATCCAGTCCAGATGTATGTGCTTCCCAAATAGGGAGGGGAAGACAGAGAGACAGGGACAGATGGGCCCACAGTGGGAAAGTTAGTTTACGGAAGATAGGAGTAGAGAGTGGATGAAAGGGAGATGGTTTTGTGGGTAGAGGCACTTGCCAACATTCTCCCTATTCACTTCTTCATTCGAGAATACAATCCAGGCTGGCCAACCAGTCCCTGTGCCCCCAGGAGTTGGAGACAAGTGAAGTCCCTTGCTGTGCTTACATTATTGGGTACTCTCCCCGAAGCAGAAAAGGGGTGCTGGACCTCAGAGCATCCTGATGGCCAGAACTGGATACCTGTGGTGTGAGGAGCGGGGAGAGAAGACTGGCAAAACAAAGTGCTGCTTAGAATCAGCCCCCGAAGAACACTCTGTCATCTACCTTTCATTCTGGGAAGTGGACTCCTTAGAAGAAGCTGCCCGGCATGTGTCATGGTGCATGCCTATAATCCTAGCACTCAGGAGGCTGAGGCAAGAGGATTTCGAGTTTGAAGCCAACTTTGGCTACATAATGTAACCCAGTCTCAGAAAAAAAAGAAAAAAAACCTGCTAAGGAGCTATGGGGTCAAGCCAAGCCTCATGGGAGTTGCACCCAGGCCAGAACTGTAGGGTCCTGCAGACTCTGGGTTCTCAGGACTGGGTATAGAACTGTCTTCTGGAATTGTCCTTTTTCTGGGTCAGCTGTGATCCCCACAAAGCTAAGCCCTGCATTGCAGGCTGGCTCCTAGGAGGAGAGGGCCCCTATTAAAAGACACTCATTCCAAGCAGCTCAGTTCCCCAGGGCACAGTGGGTGGGGGTGGCGTTGGTAACTTCTCCCGGGCCAAGGGCCTTGCACAGTGGAAAGGGATGCCCTGAGTGGTCTGGACTACCAGGCCTGGGCTCCAACTACTTCTCAGCCTGTGTGACGCTACTGCACCGGAACCACCTTATAGTTTGCGGTCCTTTCCCCCTTCCTTCTCCTTCTCCCCAGGAACTGACACTACACCTGTCCCAGCAGGAAGCCACAATGGCAGAGGAGCTGCTACCCCACCACCTGGGTGAATGCAGAGCCTTCCCCTCTCCCAAGGGCCCATCACCAGAGAAGGCCAGGCCCCCATCCTCTCCCAGGATGGATTCCTTGCCTTTCTTTTCACACCTGCCCCTGCCTGGCCCCAAGCAAAAGGAAGACATTGTTTCTGTTCTTCAAAGAAAACGTTGAACTACTTGGATGTGGTGACACATGCCTGTAATCCCAGCACTGAGGAGGCTGAAACAGCAGTATCACCGAGAATTTGAGGCAGGCTTGGGCTACATAGTGGCATCAAGGCCAGCCTGGACTACATAGCAAGACTCTGTGTCAGAAAAAACAAAACATAAAAAGAAAACTCTAAACTGAGTGTGCTGGTACACATCTGTAATCCCGACACTTGTGACCCTGAAGCAGGAGGATCATGAGTTCAAGGCCAGCCTGGGCTACACAGAGAACCTGTCTCAAACAAAACGAAATGAGCCAGATGTGGTGGAACATCCCTATAATCCCAACACTCAGGAGGCTGAGCCAAGAGGATTGTCACAGTTCAAGGCCAGTCTGAACTACCTGGCAAGACTGTACCAAATTTTAGTATATGTGCTGCTGAGGTGAGCACAAAAGACCCTGTATCAAAAAACAAAGCACCAACAACAACAAAAAAAAAACACCACCAGGGGCTGGGGATTTAGCTCAGCGGCAAAAGCACCTGCCTGGCAAGCGCAAGGTCGTGAGTTAGGTTCCCGGTAACGAAGAAAAACCAAAAAAAACAAAACAAAACAAAAAAAAACCACCAGCAACAAAACCAGCCCTAACAGTCACTCAGTTAGCTGCTCTGAATTGGGAACACCTGGCCATTGTACATTATCCTCCCTGATCTTATAGCAACTGGGCACAGTAAGTAAAATTATGCCCATTCTATTTTCTTTCAACATATATATTTCATTATTATGTTTACAGTATATAATGATCACATTCCTTGTGAGGTGTTATTACCCGCACATACACGTCTCAATTCTCATTTCATCCCCTTCTCTCCCTCCATCTTTTGATCCTTCCCCTTTGCAAAAGATCTATCTCCCTATTTCCTTTCCTATTATCTTTTATTTTGCTCTTTATTTATATTTTGGGTTTCTCATGTAAGAGAAACCATGTGATGTTTAAGCTTATATGTCTGTCTTATTTCCCTTAACATTATGGTCTCTATTTCTATCTTATAGATGAGGAAATTAAACCTAAGTTATTTCCCCCAAATCTACTAAATGCGCTGGACTGTCAGCTGTGTCCTCCGAGAAGCAGATGTGCATAGAGTTAGACATGCAAACGTGTACTGGAGAAAACACCTGGGCAGCATAAAGGGGAAAGGAACCAGCAGAGGCAGAAAGCCTATACCTGGGAAAGGAGAGCAGGAAGGAAGACTCGGACTCCAGTGGGCTCAGAGAAGCCTTAGCTGGTGGGTGGGCAATCCCAGGCCGACAAAAATAGCTACTTAGAAGCAGGGTGGGGTGATGCACACCTGTGATCCCAGCACTAGGGAAGCTGAGGGAGGGGAATCAAGAGGCCACCCTGACCACGTAGCAAACCTTGGCTCAAAAAAAACCAAAATAAGTAAATGAATGAAATTTTTAAAAAGAAATGATAACCCACTGGAAGGCTGTCTCCAGGAGCAGAAATGATCCAGCGCATGTCCCCAGCCACCCTCAGTCATTGGCTGGAAACAGCCCAGGCATCGGCAGACAGAAAGGGGCAGTGGCAGGGCTGTCACCACCCTCCTCCTCCCAGCACACTGTGCCTCCATGGCTGCCTACAGACCCAGAGTGCCACTCAAACTTCCAGGCATGTTCTTCTGTTGACACAAGGACCTTTTGAACACTCAGGAAATAGCTTTTGGCCTCTTAACCTCTGGATGTCAGTAGGTCCTGAGCTAAACTCTTCTCTGAGGCAATCCCTGGCCTTGTAGCTAAAGTGCTACTCCAGGCCTTCATGTGAGCACTGGAAAACATGTCAACCTTGTGCCCAATAGATATCCACCCTATGAATTCAGGGTGCTTTCTCTGTGGTTTACCCAACTCCTTGCAGGCTATATTTGAACTGTGCCTTTCTCATCTTGGTTGATACTGATGATGGCCTTCAGCTGGCTTTTCTCTGTCAGAGGCTCGCGTCCTTTTAAGACACACACTCAATCAGAGGTTGAGTCTAGATGTTGTGCTGTGGACCTCCCTGGGGACATAGTTCAGTGGCCTCCAGTGGGACTTAAACTCCAGCGCAGCCTGGGAGGAAAAAGTTCCCCAAACAGAACTTCCAGGGATCTGATTGCTTACATATGAGTGCCACATCATCCATAGCACCACCTAGTCCTCTATAGCTGCCTACTGCCTGA